GATAACTGCCAGACCTAAATAAATGAGAGTTTTTATACTCTCTTGCCTCGATAACTTGTAGAGGTACATCACCAACTGATGCAGTTAACAATTCTTTACACTTATTGCACTGGGTCTTCTTTAAAACTTCCAATGAATCCAGCAATATCACAGACGTTTTTTTGGAATGAACAATTGCAGGAATGTGATCTTCTATATCTGTTTCTAAGGGAGAAATACCACTAATGTCTACGCCAGTTAAAAATTCACGTAAATTGTCTAGAGCACCTATATTGAAATCTTGTTCGCAATTTGCTCCAACAGAATGTGATGATAAAAAATTATTAATTAAGAGAGCCTTAAACGAAGGAATAAAATGAATAGCACTTGGATTTACATTTCTTCTACCATGCGCTCTGATGGCCGCAAAAAAATTTTTTAAACCGTCCTGATTGAAGGCACGTGGTAAAATATACTGAACTTGTTTTAAGAGTGTGTTTTTTAAATATATAAATCCTTTTATGGTCTTCACTAGATTTGTTATAGATGGCACTTGTACTAACTTGCCTGTTATGGGATCGAGATACTTCATGGATTCCAAAACATGAATAGCATCCTTCCAAAATTTTAGATGTGGTGATGATTTTGTTAAGCCTTCTTTAGGAGGTTTACTTGCCGACCCCAGTTTATTGTTACCATTCACACTATCAGATAACTCATCCACAAATAATATGAACGCCCCTGTATGCTTAGCCTCAGGCGGCAAGCTGTGATCAGTATGTCTCTGAAAAAAAATTTATCAGTAGGTACATTACAACGGTTTTAGAATGTTTGCCAATTTTTTTATGAATCGCCCCTAATAATTGACCATGCCTATAAAAGTTTTTAATTGAGTGACATTTTCAGGCCTATTTACATTTTTAATTGCTTGAATTTTCGCATTATCTTTGTGTATCGATCAATAACGTAACCTAGATAATTAATTTTACTTTAAAAAAATTCACATTTATCTAACTCTGTGCTAAAACTTTGAGTGCTTCCAAAAATTTCGACCTTCTTCACAAATACGACTTAAATTTCTGCCTGGCACCATTCCCGTGACAAATTTGTCTTTGAGGATGTCTTCCAAATTGTGAAGATTGCAACTTGAAGCTACACTTTTAATTCGTAAATACCATTCGTTGATAGTTTCTCGGTCCTCTTGCTTTGCACTGTAGAATTCAATCCTTTCTTTAAATACCGCTGGAGTAAAATACGGTTTTAACAATTGACACACCTCCGTATATGTCTTGTCCTTTGGCAAAACTGGGCTGCATAAATCTCGCAAAATTTGGTACGTTGATGTTCCAATTAACGTGATGAGTGTCGCTGTACTATATGGTGCATGTGTAATCTGGTTCGCCTCAAAAAATTGATCCAAGCGCTCTTTATTTAACTCAAAATTTCGGAATTCATGCCAACATGTTTAAACATGCCAGATAAGGTAGTGTCAAGATATTGCTTATCTTTTTGAAAAAAGGACACACATTCCACAGCTGATTGGTGCCATTGATGGTACACACATACCTACCAATTTTACCACCTTCAGACGGTTATCGCGACTATATCAACCGGAAAGGTTGGCCATCAATAGTTGTCCAAGCCGTAGTTGACCACACTTACATATTCCGCAGCATAAATTTCCAATCTCTTGGAAGTTCTTACGATGCTGCAGTATTCAAAAATTCAAACCTATTCAAGGAGCATGCACGAATGATTCCACAGAATCCCAAGCATTTTTATGGGGTTGTGATTATCATATATGATCATGGGTGATCCAGCTTACCCTCTTCTGCCCTGGCTTATGGAAGGATTCACAAACTATGCCAGGCTAACGCCAGAAGAGGACTCTTTCAATGTATATATGAATAGTGGAAGTGTTTGTGATGAAATCGCTTTTGGAAGATTAAAAGCCCGTTGGCGCTGCATTTTGAAACGCATTGACATTCACCACATTTTTGTGCCGTGTGTAGTTGCAGCATGTTGCATTTTGCATAACCATTTATGAAGAATTGGGAAGAAGCAGTGCGAGAAGCTGAAGTTGACGAAGAAGAAAACGTTATAATTGCCTGCGGAGCCTTTTTGTTTTTAAAAATGGTTTCTGCAAAAAAGCGAACACGCGCTCCTGGAAGATGGTGGTAAAGGAGTTTATTTAAAAGTCGTCGTAATGGAAGTAATTTGCTAAGCGAGTTGCTATTGGAGGATCAAAGTTTATTTTAGAATTTTAACGGAATGAGTACCGCTAATTTTGATAAGTTATTAAAAATGATTGGGCCTTAAATCTCAAAACAAAATACTAATTATCAATCGAAAGGTAATATCAAAGGAAAGAGTTGCAGTAACTTTGCGGTTCTTAACAACGGGTGTCTCCTACACGAGTTTGATGTAGTTACCTATTCAAAATATCGAAACAAAGTGTTTCAACGATTATTCCAGAAGTATGCGAGGCGTTAATCACGGTACTAGCTGAACATGTGAAGGTAAGTTGTTTTGAAAAGTAGTTTTTAATTGTATTGTGACGGTGTTTGGCACCGTCTCAAAAAAATATTAGAAATAAACCCCAATAGGGGCCATGAGGTCCACAGTGGGATAAAATCTATTGAATCAAATTTAATGTACTGAAGTTGAATGCCCGAAATGCCAATTTGCACTGCGGTGTCGCATTTTTATTAGTTGACAGTTTTTCTCGTCTAATTGCTAGGCAACAGATTTTCATTACCTAAACAACCCAAATTTACTCGGTAAAATACAAACCTCTTGTGCAATTATAAGTGAGAAAAATACTGCATCTGTTCATATGATTACTTATATTATAATTTTCCGTTTTTTAAAACCGTAGAAATCGACAAAATAAAAAGGTGCATTTTACAATAAATCAAATATGCTTTGGAATTACCTAAAAAAACAGGGATCACGTTTCATTACTTGCCTTTGACGTACTTATATTAAATTTATACTTGCTTATAAATTAGTTAATTACCTGCAAGTGCAATAACGTTCAAAATGTCCGTCGAAACCGCCAGGAAAACGACAATACATTCAACGTTTTGGCTGCAGTAGCGGAAAATCCGAATATAAGTTTAAGAACAAATCTTCTTCAAGTCAGTTTTTTTCCTTCGATTATGTAGGTACTCTGATTCCGGAAAATGATAAACAAATAGTATCTGATGCAGATGCAGCATACATTCTTTAAAAAAACATTACCCTAAGATGCCTTTTATTGCGTCGGTAGTTGAAACAGAATTAAATAAGAAAATCGTTCGACGTCAAACAACGATGCGATGCGCTTCTGGTTTGTTGAAAGATTCCAAACACAGGTGACAAATATGAACAAAATACGAATACAATAATTATTTATAATTACAAATTTCCATAGTTATATAATCGGAAAACAATAATATATTTAGGTACTTCCTTGCACATATAAGTGTTTTAAATGCAGATCATTAATTAATATTTATTAGTAATATGAGAATATTACATTTCTGGCTTTCACATGGCGTTGCATTCGAGAAAGAAGGACCGGTTCACGTATTTGGCCGAAACGCTGGTACTCATATCTTCAATGACATGCGCGCTTGTTTTGTAGTGCGATTATTCTGTATTAACAGGGTGTACCGTAACACTATGTTACATATAACGGGCGATCAAAAATGAGTTGAAAATAAGTTTCGGTCAATTCGTGGAACGTATAACACTGTGATGATCTTAGCCTTCTAATATCTCGGCGAGCTAACGCCAACTTCAAGTCACACCGGGATATTGGACCATATTCTGTAGTAGCGGAAATGCCAAACTAACATGGCTGCCTATTTGAATATTCTCGCTTACATTTCCCGCGAGAATCTGTCACTCGGGGACCACTCCGAGTGCACTAAGATCGTGATCTTGGTTCTATACTACTCCGGCATTTGCCTTACGAATTAGGAAAACTGCAGGAAAACCTAATTCGGAGTAGTCCTATAATGAACAACATCTAATGTACAGCACTTTTGAGCCCTCTCGAAACCGGGGTAACTACTACAAACACGCTATGAGTAACCAAAATGGGATCGAGCCATTCCCTAGGTATTACTACACATACATCGGACAAAACTAAGAGATGTCAAATATACCTCGCCGGGCGGGAGGATTACCCAGGCCCAGTGGAGTGCCTGTAGGCGTGGGCTAAAGTTGTTGGGTTCGGAACGAGTGAAAATGTTAGTGTTAGGTTCACCAAGGCCCGTATAAACTTGAATAGCTCGATCCCCTCTAAACAAGCACACTTCCCTCTTGATTACTCACAGTCCCAAATAAGCAAAAATAATGAAGTGCAATGAAATAATCGAGAGTGACTAAAAAGCACAATACACTGTACACATGCAAGTATGTACAGCACAGATACAGCCCTACCGACAATGAAACATGATTGCCAATACCAACAAAGGTTACACATTAAAGGTACAAGTGACTGAATTCAGTAAGTACATAAGTAAAGAGTTACAATCTACATTCAAGTTACACACATTTATAGATTAATTGAATAAAGCAAATACCTCACCTGATACAACAAAGCAAAAGCACACAGCAATGATTACCCAGCAAACACTATTACATTATTTTCATATAAAAGTTATATAACACAGTTACATTTGCATTATTGTAGTAATATTATTCTAGTAGTACATGCAAGTTACCAGTATGTTATTATTTCCCACTCAAAGTAACATTATAGCACCGTTACGGTAATATAAAAAAGTTACATCAGTAATATGTAACACCAGACATAATGTTATATAACATGGAAATAACTGTTACCCTAACTAATGTAGCGATGGTTATGTATCAGTGTTATATAACTATAGAATCAAATTGTTATATTTCAATGACTGAAGTTGTTACATCGACGCAACATAAACAATAAAAATAATTTGTTATACGTAGTATATAAATTTATTTTATAAAAAAAATACAAAGAAACAATGTCACATATAAACGCAAAAACATTCTACAATCAATGTTACAATGAAGGTCAGTAAACAACTAAATAAAAGTGTTTATTTTTCGCGATTGTGGCGCTGTTTGGCGAAGCGAAACCATTCTCCACATGCCTTTTCAAAGTCATTCTCCTTCATAGAAGAAAATGTTGAACATACAGTTTCTGAAGACATTTAAATTACTTTAATATACCTAAGAAAATATTTCATACCTTTGATTATCGTTATGAAATGTAATTGGTGCACACCAAAATTGTTTTTGCGTCCCATCCATGAACAATGCATGGCACATGCATTTGAAAAAATTTTTCTTAAAATTCTATTCAAATTATCTTTTGCTGAATGTCCTCCGATCCCTTTTATATATTTCTTCTACAATAGTGTTATAATAAATAAAATGCATACTTAACGCTAAACTTACGAAGTGAGTGGCAACTTCTTTATTAGAACTTATTACGCGATCAAAATTGGTAATATCTTCAATGTTTAGGATTGGAAAATACTGTTTCAAAATTTCTAATCCTTCAGAGTTAGTAGAGTTGTCAATTTGAGCGCCCTTTTCTAAAGTCTCTAATCTTTGGTCAATGTTTTTCAATGACATGCTAATAGATACAAACATTCTTGACATCTTCAGGTTGTGTTCTAAAAATATTTGTTTATAATAAATTTAAAATAGATTATAAAATAGTCACCTTGAATAATAGTAGTAATAGAATCTCTTCCCTCCACATTAGATCCACTTGAAACTAAAATAAGTACAAGTATTAAGAATTCATATGCTTTATTAAAAATATGTGTGTGCTTACTTATTCTAGTACCTTGGAATATGTTAGTATTTTCTGCTGTATCAACATGTACATTATTGTTGTCAATCTCCAGTTCAATAACTAAAATAAAACTATTTATATTAATACGTTAATACAACTATACATACATGTATTTTCTAGCGGTTCTGGTATAATAATAGGCATTCTCGCAATGTTGACATGAGGTGTTACACCTTCAGCTTGTGAAAGACTAAAACAAAAGTTAAATACGTTGCAAGTGTAATTTTTTGTTTACTTGTTTGATGAACAACTTGGTAATTGGGGTGGCAACGCAATATTAGTAAATTGTCTCCAACCTATAAAAAATTATAAGTATATCTAACAGTTTAACCACTAAAGCAAACAGTATTAAATAACTAATATGCCCCCTTTGAATGTAAACAATGTTGGGATAAGAATTTTGCGTCAGCATTTGATGCAAGAAAATTTAACTATGAAAAGCACAACATGCAGTTCTAAAGGTGATTTGGTACCACAAGGTCATTTACTATGTTACATTTAAATTCAAAGACAGAGCTGTTTTACCACCTTACTCTTAGAAGAAATTTGAGGTTCTGAATCATCATCAGACAGAAGCTTGGTTGGCTGAGTAACCTTTCTTTTCCCTCTTCCTTTTTCTGCATCATCGGTAGACACGTAGTCAAGGTTATCCGCTAACTTTCGCGCCTTTTCCAAGGAAACTGCAAATTTATACATTCACTACATGATCTATATTACCATAAGTTTGCCATACCACCAAGTATGTCTACTTTTATTTCTTCGAGATCCCATTTGTCGGTATTGGGGGGAACTTCTCTCGTAATGAGGGAAGTTACATTTTTACTTTGTGCAGGCCACCAACATTTTGTATTGTTCTCGCATAACCATGACATGGGGATTTCTGAACTGTAATACTCGTCCGTCTCCTCATCATCATTGTTTAAAAAGGTCACAACCGCATATGACATTCTGTAAATAACTTATATTTACATACTTGTATAGCAAGATATTTTTTATAAATAATGATTAAAGTAAAGCACAAATGTTAAATAAAAAAATATATAGGTACATAAAAATAATTGGAAAATACAAAAAGTTTAAACTGAGACATCTAAAAGTTTACAATATAAAATATTTAAATTTCAGAATGTAGTAATGGTAGTACAACATATTCATGGTTTGAATAATCTAACATAATACATTTTCTTTTAATTTCTTCAATTGAAACTGTAACTTGTTCACCAAGATTTATATTTATAACACCAATTCCAATCTTTCTTGAATCACAAGGTACATTAAAAAAAGGTTGAACATTAGTGAACCTTTGTATATGTACTACACATTTATGATCACACATAGATATGTAATCTACTAGGCCAAATACACAATCATCCAACATAACACAATTGTTATATTTTGAATTTGAAATTGAAAAACCACAAAATTGAACAGATCGTATAATTTCTTCATTTTTTTTAGAATATTTCACAATGGGATAATCTCTAGGAGGTTCATACTTCTTAACCAAACGATTTTCTTCATATATTCGATTGACAAGTTGTTGTAAATAGTTTCCTGAATTTTGAAGCTTGTGCTTGATTTTCTGCATGTAGTTTTCATACTTGAACGCACTGAAGCTATCCAGTGGTCCAAAAGTTTTAACATCCGCTGATAAATGTACAAGATTGTGCACATTGTATGAAACAAATTCAATTCCATACAAGTCACCAAAACATTTTACAAACCACACCAACAAGGAATCTGCATACTCAATCAAACTTTTAGAGAGTTTAGAATCAACCAGGATTCTAATTGCAATGCTTAATGAAAGAAAATGTTCATAATAGATTGGGGGTAGTTTTTGACGTAAGAGTACAGGTCCAGTGTACAATAAAAATTGTCGGAACTCGGTTGCCTTCCAATGATCTATTTCAAATAGACTCCTGGGCAGTCTAACAAATTCTTCTGTAATTGAACATTTCATTTCAACAAATATACCAGAAATTTGATCTATTTCCTTTAATCTAACATTCATTCGACCTTTCACCCAAAACTGTAAAAGCCGTTTCATAACTCCTAAGCAAACAAGGTGCATGTAGTCGAGGGGAACTTGTGATACCATTCCAATATCTAGTTTGTCAAGGCAACAGTCTCTAACATGATGTTCTGGTTGCAGTCTGCTCTTAAATGCTGCATCTGTTCTTAATGGACTATTAACTTCTGGAAACACAACTCTATTTTGCACAAAGTCCCCCTCTTGGGTGCACTTACTGCATCCAAAATAGCCTGTATGACTTTTTATACCACATATAAACGCTTTGGCAGGAGCATCACATATAATTGCATTTAACATGATCTTAACCTTAACTACTTCTATCAAAAATTCGTTGTTTGTTAGCGATAAGCATTCGTCAACAAAGGGTTGCAGATACTCATTTGCATCTTCAGGTTTCTTAGTTCCATAAAAAACACCAATCAAAAATGGTTCTGTGTAATCATCAGCAACGATAGACCCCAATAGTGGCCAAAATTGTTTGGTTGAACTTTTAGCTAATGGTAAACCATCAATGTTGATGTTCACCCTAACTATTGATGGAATATTACAAAAGTATTTCTTTACAGATTGGGAAATTCCAGAACAAAAACCTAGATGTGCATACTTCCCACCAGACAAGCTAGACACACAATTAGTTGTAGTAGCTTTCGGTGTTTTTACCAGTGTTCTTACATCTGATGGTAAATTGTGACCATGACGTTGTAGTAACTGCAGCAACTTATTCACAAAAACATGTGGAACATTACATTCAATTACTAAATCGGCTAATTCTTCTTTAAGTTTTTCATCATTCACAGTATCCTTAGAAAACATTTTAGAATGTTGAGACTCATCACAACTCTGTCCTACTTGAGATTCCACTAATGCCTCCGTCTTCTGCCCGGATGAAAACATGTCATCGGAGGTGTCATCACTATTCGAAAATGCAGGTATATTTAGATCAGCATTTTGATCAAAAAGGTTCTGCCGTTCATCATAATCCAAAACAGAATCATTACATGGAATATCCAATGCTGTTCCAGTGGAGCACAAACCTGTTGTTTCGATTGAAGGCAGTAAATGTTGCTCATTTGCACTTTGCTGAATTTCTGTTAGCTTTTGTTGAATTAGCTGGTTTCTACGCCTCTTGCTTAACAAATGCAGTTCTTTAGGCATGATTCTCAATTATTACAATTTACTGCTCCAAATGTCTGTAAAATTAAGTACTTCAATAAATCAAAAATATATTCATTACTTATGTAAAACACCATTTATCAATTATGGAAAATGCAAATAAAAGAGTAGAAAATTAAAGTTTACAGTCACATTTAACTAGATGTAACCCTCTGTGCCATACTACAGTATAATTATAAGTAACATCGTACTACCATTAGCCACTTCAGACAATTATACTTGTGTGGAGGCTTGTGTACTGTGTAACTGATTGATTCTCGGTTAGATTGAAAAATAGCTTTGGGACCTAGGATCGGTGCAGTAATCCGACCTTGATACAAATTACTACAATTTGGTATCCGAGGCACTATACCTATATTGTCAAAGACTTCCGCTATGGCTCTACTATACTATAATGATCTATCTAAATACATATTCACACATTTCTAAGAACAGAAAAAATACTGTAATTACTGTAACTTACCTTATTAATACTTCCGCAAAACTCGGTGTAGAAAAGAAATATTAAATAAATTAGAGACCAGCACAGCACTTCTTTATGGCACCAACCAAATACACGAGGCAAAAAATTAGAACCTAACCCTACTTAGTATACGTTACAATTTTACAAAAGGCGCGACGCGGGACGCGCGATGGTTCGCATGTAGAATGCACATAAAAATAGCTATGTTCATGTTATATTGTTACGTGATGTATCTGCAACTTCCAAAATGTTTGGAGATATATTACTTTTACTTTAACAGTAACACTTGATATGGAATGTAATATAACTTAATGCAGTGTAAAAGCTATGTATACGTTATATATCATTTGTTATATAACATGTGCAAGCTGCAATGTTACGTACCAATAACATTACGTGTTTGAGATATTTGTTATATAACTTGTGATTTAGGTTATGTAACTATACAACGAATGTTACGTATCATGTATGTATTAACAAGTTTAAATCTGTAGGTTTATCTAGTGCTCTTGCAACAATGTTTATGTTATATAGTGTCTGTTATATAACTTGTGGCTTCTGAGATACATAACAACTACAACTAATGTTTGCTGGGTGTATAACCAAATATTTCAAGACAAGCCGTACTTTACACTTCAGCTGGTTACAAGACAAAGACCATGAACACACATGTTAAATCCTATTTATTTGACCAACCCAAGCCACGCGGTAATTTGATCTGCTAATACCCCTAAACCACCCAAAAATCGCCCATTCCCTGCAGTTCACGCATTTCTAAGAAAAAAGTGGACTGCAGGTGTTTGAAATAAATTGTAAACACATGTGGTCTTCAAGAAATTCCATCCGTCTCATCTTCGCTCTCTTTCCCTTTTCTGTAATCCCACCAGATTTCTGTTTGCAGCTTGTGTAACTAACATAATGTATAGGGTGCTTCGTATCGACAATCATATTCACAGGACGTTGCTAAGGTTGGGGTATCTCAACAAATTTGTTAATATGTGTTTTTGTGACCTATTCCCTAAATTACTTCCAATATTTATGGTGCCTACGCCTTGGGCAATGATTTGTTTACCGTCTCCGACTGTTATAGCCTTCCGCTTACAAATCGTAAATTCTTCATAATTGTCGAACCATTGGCGACAAGGTGACATATGTTGTGACGCGCCCGAATCCGCGTAAAATATCATATTGCGATCGCCTACGACGTTAGAATTAGATGCCGAAAATAAATAACTATCGGAACCCGAATTATTAGAACCGCTTGCAGTATTAGCAACGCTCTTACTTAAAACTTAAAAAGTTTAAAACAGTCCTTCTTTTTATGGCCGGTTTTCTTGCAAAAATTGCATTTACCCGCGAACCCGGATTTTGATGTAGATTTTCCGAAATTTCGTTTCTGCAAGACATTTCGCGAACAAACTAGCCCATCGCTTTCATTAGATAATTCTGACTTACCGCCACACTGAAGCATTTCTTGTTTTAACAACCGTGGCACTAAATTACACTTTTTCTGCTCCTTTTTTATCAATGGAATCCCAGGCGGCGATAAACGGTCTATATTCCTCTGGCTCTGGCAAACTGAGTAGAATTTTGGCAACAACTTCGGCTTCAGAACGGGGTTGTTCTAAATCCTCCAAGCGCTGTGCCATTTCTTCAACGGTGGCGATATGTTGCGAAACTGTCATCTTTGAGCCATCTCATACTTGTAGAATTGTTGCAATAACATGTGAACCGAAGTCTCGTTTTTCATTTCATAAATTGAAACTGAACGATCCCACATCTGCTTGGACGTTTTTAAATTCATTATGTGCCGTACTTGGTTCTTCTCTAGCGCAAACTCTATGGTCATCCTTGCCTTTTTGTCAAGTCTATTCCACTCACTTAATTTTTGTGCCTGGTCTTCATTTGGCTGCGACGATGATCCATCTACGACATTAAGTAGTCCATGTACATCCAAATACGATTGCATTTGGAACTTCCATACATTGAAATCAGTACCGTCGAACTTCGGAAGCGTTACCTTTTCCATTTTCAAAAAAGAGGAACATGAACGCAATTCTTACGAAGAATACGAATTTCACAAATCACGAAAAAATTACTTATCCCGCAACGAAGCACGCTGCTCCCATAACCTGATGATATATTTATAAATCCCTTAGGAGTCCGCGAAATAAGTTGACTAATTTATTGAATGTACTTTAACAGAGGTGGGTAAAATGCATTTAAATAAGTATTTAAAATGGAAAATGCAAAATGTATTCAGATATTGTATTTAAAATGTAAAATGCAAAATGGTTTTTGTACATTTATTTAAAATACAAAATAGAAAATAGGTATTTGAAATAACATTTCGAATACAAAATGGTTTTACAATTTATTTATTTGCAATAAAATTTACATTAGCTTTAATTATTAAAAGTTTTTCAAATGTATCATCATTCATGCATCGACGTTTTGGTCGCATGATTATCCCTGCGTATGAAAACAGCCTTTCAACAGGAGCCGATGACGGAAGTGGTGTGTTGTATTTTATAAATAACTTTTTGATGTTAGGAAATTGATCCAACATTGACAAATTTGTAAGTGGACTCTGAAGATATTGAAGGGCTTCAAGCTGTAACTAGTGATGTTTAATTTCATGAAATTTATCTTTTTGTAACTTACCACGTAATTTATGACGTAACTTACAGTTTTGTCTGTAATTTATGAAATTTATGAAATATACGAGTTTTGGAAGATATTTTATTGTGTAGTGTGGATGTTTGATACTTTGCTGGAAAAGACTCATGGGTAATACGTTTAGAAGTAGGTATATTGTAAATCAACATAAGAAAAACTAAAAACTTAAACTCCTAACCCAAAGTAACATTGTATAATAGACATAAACTTATGCTATAGCACGAAACAAATGAACTACTTATCAAACTAATAAAAAAGAAATTCACAGTCTTCTTTAATTAACTAAAATGGTTGAATCACTTGTACTTGTACTTTACGCTACTTTCTGCGTGTTATCGGTATTGTTTCTTTGTAAAACGACTTACAGCTTATTGACTGAAGATCAGATTCGAGTAGGGATTCTTGGGGATCAGGATCATATACGGACTCATCTGCATTATGTATACTGCAGTTCTGAAAGTAAAATAATATAATATATCGGAAAAGGTACTTGTTCACTTATATTACCAGTACTTCTAATGAATCATCTTTACTGTCGGAACCAGCAATATGACTTGCACTAAGTAGACAAGTAGTATCGCGTTTGCGTTTCTGTCCTTTGGTTTGGGGAGTTTCATCAATATGCTCCTCTTCTGCATCAGACGGGGTATCATTGTAACTAAAGTCATCGTCAGAGTTTCCATTTCCTTCTATATCCGACGTCCACGAAATATTCTATACAGAAAATAAATTGTAATAGGACATACAGGTGCTGTACTGTACCTATGTAACTTACAGAGTCAGAATCAGAACTCTCTGAACAAACTTGATTGGTTGAGAATGATTTTCGTGAGTACTTTTCTTTGGAACTGCTAGTAGGTGGTGCTTCAGGGTTATTAATATTTGATTGCTGATGCTGGAAGTTTCTGTCATCCTGAACCGTCGTAGGTTCTTGAGAACTAAACAATTTACTGTTGTGCTGAATATAATTTAGTTTTATAGCTCTTTTGCTTGTTAACCTATTTCTTCTGTTTGTGTGAATTAAACTTTGAGTGCTAAAGCTTCTTTCGGTGGCAGCTGATGTACATGGCATTGTGAGAATCCGTACAGCTAATTTTGAAAGTGAGAGATCTCCACAATAACCTTTCCACCAAGTTATTGCATCAACCGTAGGTAGTACTTCCCACAAAAAATTCTCTGCAAAGAAATGGAGTTTGCCCATGTAGTGACCTAATTCTGCTATTGCAGTTGGCAACATCATGTCTTTTGCCAAACCATTAATAAACTTCATAGCACGCATTTTTTGTTCACTTGACAAGTATGAGCCAACAGAGTGAGGATTTAACAGATCAGCAGCCATGTGGACAGGTTGCATTGCATACTGCTGCCTTTCTGAAAATTTTTGTAATATGTTATTCCTCTCCGTTTCTTGTAATTTTAGCAGTTGTAAATTAGAATCAAATTCTAAATTTATTGCATTGAAGGATTTGCACACTAAATGAATAGAAGGACTATCACCTTCCAGAAGTGTTATACTTTGTGTTATGGGCTTTAAAAGGTTTATTACACCCTCCACACTGACCCAAAAATCCTCACTTAGGATAACGGGTTTTATAGTATGAACAACTTTTTGTGTGTCTTCTGTTATACTAAGTCTTTGCAAGGCAAATTTGCACTTAACGAGATCTTCCATTGATTTAACATGTGAACCCCACCTTGTTTTGACAGGCATACTTAACGAAGTTGTAAGTTTCATGTCCTTTTTTATTTCTTCTAGTTTTGCTCGCAATATCTGACTGGACATTATGGTCTTAACAATATTCTTAACAGACACAATGATCTGCTCAACAGATTCTACTCGCAATATATCTGAGCACATCAAATGAAGAGTGTGTGCCATACAACCATATGACACAATATGGGGATATTTCTCTTGTATGTTACGTGCTGCTTTACGCATATTAGCGGCATTGTCGGTAACTATTGCGCTAAATTTATGTGACCCATATTTCTCGATTATCTCTAACATGATACCTTCTAAATAGGTAGCAGTATGACTTGCAGTGCCACTTAAAACAGACTTGACAAATAAAGGGCGCGGGGTTGTGATGATAACGTTAATGACACTTTCGTTTCTTAAATTTGACCACCCATCACACTGAAGGGCCAAATTTTCTGAAATGTTCAAAGTTTCCTCCACATGAATTTGTACTCTCTCAAATTCTTCGTCAAGTAGACGATGTGATAACAGATATCGCCCAGGTAACGTAAAGGAGGGTCTCAGTCTTTTAAAGAATAGTTTCCAGTTTCTGTTTTCTGTAATTGATAGTGGTGTATTACTAGTAAACACTGCCTTTGCAAATAAGGCTGTCAGTTGTTGATGTTCTTCTACTTTCATTACGTCTACAAAACTTTCTACCATGGATCTTTGTTTGTTAGAAATGTAATTTGATTTTTTAACGGGTG